CGGGTAGGTAGGATTTTCATCCATGCCTTGACACAAATAGTCAAATATCTCAATTAAAATGTAAGTTAACTCCTTTAGATAAACCTTTTTCCTTAGGCTCCCAAAATCAAGCCTAAAGTGTAGAGTATAAATCCCATTGTGTTCACACAAAGATAAAGCTTGGTAAAGCAGTTCATTTCAATGTTCATTTTGTCTGCTTATTATATATTACATTTGTTATATTAAGGTACAACATTGAACAAGAACAAAAGCTGGCCTTAGAAACAACAGTTCTTGTAGAACAGTACACAGTAAGTCTTAGAGACATTTTTGGTCATTATTTCAATCTGCTCTCCCTGGTAAGCAAAATCAGTAACTTTTTTATTGAGTTTTAGGGAATCATTACTTGCAAACTTAGTATTCTTAATAAAATTCTTTTTATTTACCAACTAAACTGTGAAACCCATGGTAGGCTGAAAGGTTGATGAACATGTGCAGGCTTAGTTTCGGGGTATGTAGTTCAGTGGGTGTGGCACTTTGGTATTCAAGTTTGGTTGAAGTTTTTATTTTCCTTGTTGTCTGCCTCTCACCACTTAACTGCTAGGCAAGAACTTTCATCTCTAAGCATATGACAAATCTTGCCAAATTTTTAGTATGAGTCAAGTTTTTTATTTTTCAAGGCAAGATTTCATCAATCCTCGTACAACTCTCAGCTAAGGAAAAAAAGACTTGATAATTTCTTCTTGTAATAAGTCATTCCTCTTTGTAAGCTTCCAGATGGACGGGTTGTGAAGATGAGTGGTGAGCGATTTGAAGCACCTGAGGCATTGTTTCAACCCCATCTCATCAACATTGAAGGAGTGGGTGTGGCAGAGCTCCTGTTCAACACCATCCAGGCTGCAGACATTGATACCAGAGCAGACTTTTACAAGCACATTGTTCTGTCTGGTGGTACCACTATGTACCCTGGCCTACCAAGCAGGCTAGAGAGGGAGATCAAACAGTTGTATCTGGAGAGAGTTCTTAAGGGAGATACCACAAAATTGTCGGTGTGTAACCACCTTAATTGCTCCCCTTTTCTTGTCTTTTGTATTTTTTTTGGTTCATGCCAAAAGACACAACTTGAACAATGATTGAATAAATTAGTTGAATAACATCAATTTGATCTAACTAGGTAGTTAGGAAAGGTCCTCTCTCAAATTGTGAAAATTTCCAAAGGTTACTGTCACAATTGGCATCTTGATATCAGAAATGAAATCTGCAATAATTCTTGCTCTGAAACATATTGTGGACTAGAGAGACCTCAGAAATTAGATATATGATCATGAACCTTTCAAAGTTCTTGCTGTTGTAGAAGATAATTTGGTTGATTATCAACTGAGTTGATAATGAAATTAGCCACAGTAAACAGTTTCTAAAGCTGACATTTCAATTGTTAGTCCCTCATCAGAGTGGAGAGGAATGGTAGGTTGTGTGCAGTTAGTTGTTCAGTCTTTATGTCTTGGGCTTGTCTTATGTTATCAAGAAATTAGAATGTATATTAAAAGTTTCCTTTAACCAAGTTCACTTTTTTGCTATTTTCATCATTATTCACAGAAATTTAAAATCAGAATTGAAGATCCACCCAGAAGGAAACACATGGTGTTCCTTGGTGGTGCTGTGCTGGCTGACATTATGAAGGACAAAGAAGGATTCTGGATGACACGGCAAGAATATCAAGAGAAAGGACTTAAAGTTTTAGAGAAGTTGGGAGTGAAAGTTGGTTGAAGTCAGCTAGGTAATTAGAGAAAAGATATAGAGATTTTGTTAACATGGGGAGGAAAAAACAACAGAAAATTTCAAATTGAAATAATGGGCAAACTCTTCTAAACAAGCTCTCTTATGTGATCATTTTTTTTTTTATGCCATAAGAGGTTTACCTGTTCACATTTGCCTTTCTCTTCATCTCCTCTTGAGGTGAAAAGATTTTCTGCTTACATTTTAATTGAAGGAAAAAAAAAACAATCAAGTGTACATAAATTCTCCTTTAGAAACTTCTGGTCATTTCTGCCTCAGTTTTGGAAAAGTGCATTGAAATAATTGATGGCAAAATAGTATATTTGGGAGGTTGAAACCAGACCACTTACAACATCATAAATTTGCAATGAAATACTGCAAAAAAAAAGTTTCTATTGTTATTTGCAAACAGAGCAGTGATGTACTTTGTTGTAAGTGTGAATGAGGCTCAACACTTGAGAAGGCTCTTTGAGATAGTTGAGGTGAAAGCTTAGATCAGAATATCAAAGAAGCCATCACATTTAATTTATGACAGGAAAAAAAAACTTAGTCATGTTGTGATGCAGTTGGACTGGTCTTTTGGCATTGCTTTCCTATAGCCATTTTGAAATATAAAGGTTTTACTAACATGTTAACTTTCCTTTTTATGCTCTTGTAGTGAGAAGTGGATTTAATATTGCATGCCATCTTTCTTGTCAGGGTATTGCAATTTTTCTGACATCATTTTGTTTTAAAGCTGCATTTAAATTAATGAGTTTCCTGTAACAATTCCACTGTCACTAATACTTTTTTTGTCATGATTACTCTTAAGCAAAGATAATGTTTGCTAGGTCATCCACCTAAAGGAATTTTGTCCTTGGAAATTATTTGTCACCAAAGTCCCCTGTTTAAATACTGGATTGTATCAGTTTGTGAACAAAGGGTGTTATAACGGAATGCCTCTATGAATTTCTCCAGCAATGCTGCTGCTGAGAAACTTGTGGGTGGAAACTTTAAAGTAAAAATGGAGCTTAATAAAACAAGGTGTTTTCTCAGATGATCACTGTATGCCTGGAAAGAAAAAAAGAACATTTCATGAAAATTGAAAAAATGATAATAGTTTCTGACTCCTTCAGCAAAAGCAAAGTTTCCATTTAATCAAAGATTTGTGATGTTTTGTCATAGAACAATAATTTCCACCTGAATTTCCTGATGGCCTAGTGTAAGAGCCTGTATTCGTTGAAGAGAGAGCTTGGTTTTCTAATGTGAAGAGTTTGTGAACTGTACAGATTAGTTTCTTATTCATTAATGAAGAGATCATTCTTAAATATTTTGGTAAAATAATACTTTCCTAGTTCCCTTCACATGTTAATTATTGCATTATGTAATGTTTTTCTTCCCGTCTCCATGTTGTTGCTCGTGGAGAAATTGGAATGCCTTGCTAAAGCAAAGAGATGGAAATAAATGTTCTTTTTTTATTTCAAACTTCGTGTAGTTCACTTGTTTTATCAAGTGTGTTATTGATGGATAATGGCCTGTAACCGCAGGAAGAGGTAGAGGAAATGCAAATGACCCAGACGGTTTAATTTGAAAACCAGCGATCGTGAAACCTGAAATAATTCATGTTCTCCTTTTCATAAAAGAAATCAGTACGTTTGTGGTTTTCACGCCAGTGAAACTGACATAACATCAGCGCCAATAATATTATGGGTTGCATTTGTTATCATCCTACAGAAGTCAAGTGTTTCCACCAACCTAACCCCGCCTAGCACTCCCGCATGCTTACACAGGCACGAACTTATGCCTAAAAACACCACCACAGCCTATCAAGGAACATAAGGAAGAATTTAAAGAAATTATCAGGTAATGTCGCAGGGAAAGTCCGCGGAAAACTAAGGATTATAAAAGGTTACCACTTGGTTAACGGGAGGGGGGGGGGAGGCGAGGAAAAACCTTCAAGGGAGGGTATCACAGCAAGAACATTATTATATTAACTAAGAACTTAGAAAGGGAATGGTGAAGGACAATCATAAACAGAGCGTTTTGCATCAGAACTTTAATTGTGACAAATGAATGTGTGATTCATTGATAACTGGATATTGGAAGCTTACAGGATATCGAGGAATAAATGGGAAAAAAAGAGAGAGCACTTCCAGGTTTAACAAAAGGAGAAATTGAGATGTAGAAAGGCTTAATATACAAATATTCAAGGTGAGAGGGTAGACTTTTAGTCCATGTTAACATGCAATCTTGGAAGCGAAAAAGTATCCGTGTATCCGGCACAAAGGTAAACAATGAGACTACAGCAACAACATTGCTAATAGCCGAGCGGTAAAAGTCCGAACAGACGAAATCCAGAAAAAAAACTGTTCGATACAGGTCAGATTCAAGACATAAAAGGGAATAAAAGTTACAGTCCAAAAAAGGTTATTTAAAGGATTGAAACACAAACTTAAGTCTTCTTGCCGAGGTGAATAAAAGGGCACACTCAAAGCCAAATATGTATCAGTCGTGTTCATCAGAAAGATCTTCATTGTCATCTTCATAAAACGTTACCGGAACGTTCTCAGAAGGATCCTTATCGTCTATGTTAAAAATACTCTTTCCAGCCACTCCAAGGCCGCCCGTGGCATCGTCCATTCTCTCGGGATAATACTCTTCCTCGGGATATCCTTCTTGATACATCCCATCCGCAGGATATCCTTCTTGATACATCCCATCCGCAGGATATCCTTCTTGATACATCCCACCCGAAGGATATCCTTCTTGATACATCCCATCCGCAGGATATCCTTCGGGATACATCCCACCCGAAGGATATCCTTCGGGATACATCCCACCCGAAGGATATCCCTCGGGATACATCGTACCGTCTCCATGGTAGGCCATCTCGTCTGGATAGTACATTCCTTCATTTTCAGCGAAGAACATTTGATCAGGATCGTACACTTCCTCAGGGTAGTAATATTGATCTAAAACACAATTCCGAGAAGAAATAGTTAATTTAAAGTAGGCCTGATTCACTTCATTAATTCAATTCACTTCTTCCCAAGGATCATGTCTGCTGACTGAAGATTACAAAATATTAATTCCGTTTCTTACCTTTATATCCAGGTTTTCTGCCACACATTTTGCTACATTTTCTGTAACATCTTACAACGAACGTAAGAAACAGAACCAGAACTATGAGGCAAGCACCACCTAAAACGCCGAGGGTGTCCAAGGCCCCATTTTTAAGGTCCCTCAACACGAGCTTGGGAGTGAACCAGCGAGTAAACCACGTGGGCCGGCATTTAAGGCCATCCTTGTTATAACCGTCTGGACACTCGCATTTAAAACTACCTTGTATGTTACGGCAGTGACTTTGTTTCTCGCAGTTGTGTTTCCTTGTCTTGCACTCATCTATGTCTGTAAGGCAGACAAGAAGGAATCAATGGTCAAGGTATAAGAGAACTGTAGTCGAGCAGGCCCTTGTTAAAAGCGCTGCAGCACGGGCGTTTCTTTGTCCAATGGAAACTATGAGGCATAAGGCTTAAGGCATGTGCAACGCGAGACGGCGAGGGGTCTTCAGGGGGTCCGGTACTGGTAAATAGTGCCAGACTCCCGGCAAACCTCTCCCCGACTCGTCTTAAATCTTGCAGTTCCCACAGGGCGGGGAGAAGGGGGCGTGGGAGATCTTACGATTGAATAGCATCTCGTCCTTATGGCTTCATGCCACTGAAACTGTGATAAGTTGGCTCTTCCCCCATTCCAACATCCTCCCCCTTATATTGCCAAGCTTTTTGTCCACATCCTCCCCTCCTACCGTCTCTCGTTTAAGAGTTTGCCCAGTATTCAAATCCTTGTTCCGCAAATACGGCTAAACAAAAGTAAGAAATCACGACCGATAAAAGCACAAACCTTTGCATTTGTCGTCAGATTTAGTGTCAAATTCGTCGAAAATGAAGCCGGCACCACATCGACAAAGGAAGGATCCTACCGTGTTGGAGCAAGTACTATGCTGGCCTTTACATTTTGCAGTTTCCGCGCATTCATCGATGTCTGATATGTCAATAAAAATGAAATATTGTGTCCTGAGTGTCACTCTCGTAAATTCCAATGAGCTACAATTAAGAACGTAGCTAAATTTAGCCGGAAATATCTTCGTCACGTTGTACCGAGAGACAATCTCTTTCAAAGCATTTCTCAATTGACTGTCGCAAAAGCAAAGGCAAAGTGATCGTAACGACCAATCTGAGCGAAGGAAGATACCTTTAAGAGCCAATCAGAACTCAGAGTAAAAACGAGCCAACTGCGAAAAGCGCGGGGAAACGCATATTACCAAGTTGCGTTTGATTTGCGTCTTGTATGTGACTGGTTGAGAGGATAGCACGAGTTTTCTGGACCAATCAGAGAGCGGAGTGATTCAAAACCAATACATAAACCCGGATAACTTTTAATACTCAATTGAAAATTTCTTTAACCCTTTAACTCCCATGAGTGACCAAGACGGAATTTCTCCTTAAAATATCAATGCAACAACAACCTGATAAGTAATGAGAATAAAGAAAAATATCAATTTGGGGATAATTAGTTGATCCAATACTAAATTATCTGAACTAACATCATAAGAATTGCACGATTGACAGTAAGGAGAATGAAAATTTTGATCTGGGAGAGTCAGAGGTGTATGCATTCGCGAATCGATACAACACATGAGCCACACTGATTCTGAGCTGAACTTTTTTACACCAACCACTATTGTGATTATCATCACTAATATTCCAGTTAAGATTTGATGGATCGACGGCACAAAAGTTTTTCACATAGCAAATGCCCATTTCCGAATAACCTTTGGCCTCTATTTCAAAGCAAGTCCTGGTGCTCATCCTGTCACGTGATTGTAAGTTTTCATTCACATATAACTTAAACTCATTTTCATACACATGGTTGAGCACCAGGCCTAGTTTTTAAAAAGAAGCCAAAGGCAATTCCGAAATTCGACACACTATTGCAGAAAGAAGCGATCAAATGAGGAAAGACTCAAAAGAAGGGCGTCGCCCTATCATAAACTACTGAGTAAATACAATTATTTAATTACCTATGCATTGATGTGTTTCTTTAGTCTTGTAGCCAGGTTTGCAATCGCACTTATAGCTGCCATGGGAGTTTTTACATGTGCTGGTGGTTTGATTACAGAGCTGCAGCTTACACTCGTCGACATCTATACACTGTTTCACTTCAGGGACATAGAAATACCCATTTTTCATGTCACCAAGACATTCACAACCATAACTGCCTGGAGAGTTGACACAGCTTACATCTTTGCCACACACGTGCGGGTTGTCACATTCATTGATATCTAAAAAATAAAGTTTATGTCATTCAAAACAATAAAAAAGTGAATGGAAGCTTTGAAATGTCGCAGTGATATCTATGCTTTAGTTTTATGCGAGCTTATCTGATTTGTTCAAAACAAGATGAAGCTAACCTAAGAATGACTATTTACGATCTTTCTCTTCTGTTTTATGGCTGTTTTTCTTTAACGGTCGTGGGAATGCAGAGGGAATGCAATAGTCCATTTTACAGTTGTGTGCTTGGTTTCCAAGTCTTTGAACAGGAGTGAGGCTAAGGTTGACCTTGTTATGATACAAACCTTGTTGCTTTTCAAATGCAAATTACTTTTTTGTCAATGCTAAATCGATACTGGTCTTTATCACAACAAGGTCACCTTCAGCCTCACTCCAAATTAAAGGCTTGGCCGCTAAGTACACAACCTTAAAATGGTCTATTGCACAATCGACCTTTGAACGAAAAGAGGCTCTGCATTTTCTAAGAATGACGCATCCTGTCGTATCAGTCTCTTTCAGCTCACAGCTCTCACCTCATATCAAAGAATCTGATCCCTATTTATTGTGTACTGAGGCTTTGCAGAAATATTTGTAAAGTATGGTTTTACCAAGAGTTTGCCTTTCACTAAGATAAAAATGGATAATATTTTTTGCTACAGAGCAATTTTCAATTGAGTGACAAAAGTAATCGGGAATTTCCTTGGTTTTGCTTTACATCGCTCTGTGATTGGTCCAGAAACTCGCGCTACTTTCTCAACCATCAGATGCAAAATTAAAACCAATTACGACGTGATTGCCCGCGTTTTCCCGCGCTTCAGGCAGTTTGGTTGTTTATACTTTGAGTTCTCATTGGCTCTTAAAGTTATTTTCCTTTCTTCCGATTGGCTGTTGTAATTGCTTTGGTTTTGGTTAAACGATACTCAATCGAAAAGCGCTCATAACAGCTTAGTTATCAAAAACTTAGAACATACACTGACCTACGCATACTTCGTTCTCCTTTTTGAAACCCGGGGTACACTCGCAGGTGAAACTTCCCACATTGTTCTTGCAATAAGCGTTGACATTACCGCATTTGTGAGATCCGCTCATACATTCGTCTATGTCCTCACATTTCCCTCCCTCTTCATAATAGCCGTCCCTACACTGGCATGTATGGTTGGTGCAAACTCTGCCAGTTGGGCAGTTTATGTTACTTCTGCAGTTAATGCTGCCATCTGTTTAAAGGGGAGAATACGAAACTCATCGAAAAAAGGAATCAATTCCTTGATCATGCGAACGCTTGTAATTGTATTAGCGTAAAACAAAATAAAAAATATATCTACCTGATTGCATTGGCACAAAAAAAATGAAAGAGTAAAAGGTCAAAAGAAGGGAATAATTATAGCCTGCATAGCTGGCCTTGAAGGAGGAGGGAGGGGAGGGGAGGGGAGGGGTAAAAGCGGAGGATAGGGGAGGGGAGGGGAGGGGAGGGGAAGTGGAAAAGAGGAGGGGAGGGGGAAGGAAGGCTCTTTTCTCCCCCCCCCCCCCCCCCCCCCCCCCCCCCCCCCCTCCTCTCCCTCCCCCTTCCCTTCCCTCCCCCTTCCCTAAGAGCCAGGCTACGCAGGCTAGAATAATTAGGAAATCATCTTCCTTGTTATGAAAAGATTTTAGTAGTTCCAAAATATACCCAAATCTACATTCTTATTTTTTTAACGATCACAGCAGCGATGAGTGGTTAATTTTTGCTGTCCTTCGGAAATTAGATTTGTTCAATTTTTTTCGCCGACTTCTTCGGTCCGGGATAGTTATCAGATTTTATAACCACGGGACGTCGCAACGTGGCGGCCATTCCGTGCCTAATTCGATATGTTCGCTTTTTGTTCGTTATTACTCGCCGTATGTGCCAATGATTTTATTGGAAATTAGGGAATAGATACTGATCTTCACGCGTACTCAAGATGGTGGTCTTCGAGGAGTGTTCCTAAGGCCGTGCTTTCTTTCATCGCCAACTTAATTTCATTTATCGAACGAGTGAGGGAAAAGAAAAACTTCAGAAGCTCTTCTTTTTGGCCTGGCTAAATCGATATTCTACATTTCATAATACAGAGATTCTCAAACTGTTCGTTAATGCTCTAGAAATATCATGTGATAGTATCCTTCGTGGTCTTCTAAAACAGGAACTGGATAAACTTCAAAGAATTCAAAACACTGCAGCACGTCTTATCAATGAAACTAAACGATAAGAACATCAAACCTGCCCTTCGAGAACTACACTGGCTACTTGTTAAGTCACTGATTATATTCAAAGTTCTGCTCATCACTTCCAAAATTATCCATGGACTTTGTCCAGCCTACTTGTCGTCCCTCCTACAACAATACCGCCCGCAAAGAAGCCAACGCTCATCCTCTAAACTACTTTTTACGCGTCCCTACTGTGAACTCTGTGACATACGGTGAACGTGCCTTTTCTTTCTTCGCACCTATATTATGGAACAGTCTAGCCGGTTCTGTTAAAAATACAACATCTCTTTTATCTTATAAATTTGCCCTCAAAACATTCTTGTTTCGGGAGTTTTTTTTAAAAATTATTTTACGTGGAACCGTGTACCTCGCTTTCATGCCACCCAATTCTTAATTAATTATTTCATTTATTTTATTTACTACTGTTATAAGAAACATTTTGTAGGTTTTAATCAATTTATTTTTTTCTAAATAGTAATGAAAGCGCGTTTAGTTTTCTAAATACGCCCAAAAACTTTATTATTATTATTAGTATTATTCTTTTCCTGTTTTGAAACTTAGCTAGTGTAGAATTGGTGAACTAACTTTAGAGATTTGTCATGAAACTGTGTTAACATGCCAGTCAAGTACGAAGACCAGTTGTAAATTTCCCTACCTTTTCCCTTTCCTACAGAACTTTTCCCGACTGGCAAAGAACTATTGTGATCATGCATAATTCTGCCATAATCTACAAGCAAAAAAAGAAGAAAGATAATTTATTGAGATATTTTTAATTACCCTATAAATACATACTATATCTATTTTAGACCTGAAAACGATGTGAATTTTCTGAGTCTTCTGGACCAATTACAAAGCAGGGTGAAGTAAAACCAAAAAAACAGATAATTTAACAAATAGAGAAGCCTTGACTGTGCTCTGTTCTGTTGTAAAGCACACAGTAAGCGGCTAGAGCACGAAAGAAGTGTAGGGAGAAACACGAGACGTAGTCGAGCTGCGCCTCGTGTGTCACTTTTTAGTTCTTACCACATTTTGACGTCATCTGTGATCTATTACTGAACAGACGCACGACAACTTGGAATCTATTTGTTAAATATGAACTTTGATGGTTTGACATTTTTGTCAGCTTTAGTCTTGTACAGCCAATCAGAATTTAGTGTTAACAACTCAGTTGTTAACACTAAATTACCTGCTATACTCTCCCACCGACGTAGCACCACAGTTTCTTTAGAAACTTGCGCCCCTTAAAACCAATGCCATCTTGCCTAGTGATGGTGTTAATATATCTTCTGATTGAAAACTGCCCCTTTTTAGAGGAATAATCCTCAATGTTAGCTATGCCCTTTTCGCGATTGTTGTAGCTTCTGTTGGGTCACAAAAACTTTATCCTACTTAAAAACAAACTTACCGCAGAGATCGGAGAGAGAGTTCAAAGGCTTATCTCGAAGATGATATGGTGTTTTGCACTGAATATTATCCACATCTTGAATTACAGGCAGATTCTTCCGGCCAAGTCTAAGCC